GAAAGGGGTTCACAGGTTGTTGAAGTTTGGGAACCACTGCTCTATAGTGTACTAAACAAACAGCTGGGAGGATGAGGTAACTCATTTGGCCGGTCCACAAACATGGTTAGAGAGTCTTGTTTACGCTGGGAAAAAGAAAAATAGAGCGTTATAGATTGTTATAACCCACTAACAACCTCCCCATCTCCTTCCCATCCCCCCCCCCCATTTCCTCCCTATGACTGAAGGGGTGTTAATGGACCACTTCACCTTGAATGGTCCCTTGAAATATGTGTTTACTACTTACACTAAACAATCTGTTCCATCTTGTATTTAGCTGTGTAATGTTTCCTAGATCTGAAGAAGAGCTATGTGTAAGCTCGAAAGCTTGTCTCTGTCACCATCAAAAGTTGATCCAATAAAAAGATATTACCTCATCCATCTTGTCTCCCTAATATTCTGGGACCAACATGGCTACAACAACACTGCATACAATTCTTACCTCATAGGCAAGGTTCAGAATAGCACCAATAAAACTGACCAGACTCTGGTTAAATTTTAGCTTCAGCTTGGGAAAACCTGGGCAGTCTCTGCAGACTCAGGAAACCTGTACTGTGTTATGTCATATTTGGAACGTTATGTTTCAGGTCAGATTAGAGGATCAAATGGTTCCTTCTGGGCTTAAAATGTATGAAAATAGAAAAATGGGTGTCTTTGTTTTTTTACAAGGACATTGCCAACTTAATCACAATTCTATCTGTACCCTTTCCCCCACCGCGCCTCCCCCGCCCCCCGATTAGAAGGAACATTTAATATAGCTGTAACTGAAAGTTCAGAGGAACAAACCAGAAGATTTTTTTTTTTTTTGGTTATTTGACATCACTTTGTGTCTGCTCATTTTCCCTGTTTCCCATGTCTAGTAAGTCAGTTTCCCATTTTGTTTGTGGGCCTCTCCCACGCTAAAAGGGAAGCGCTCAACACTTGCTAGAATTCACTTATTAAAATTCTCTCTCCAAGTGTTCTGGTATAAAGTCTAGGAGTAGCTGCTGAACAAATGACAGTATGTTAATTATAGCACTCAGGAGAAAAAATTGCCAGGGGGAAAAAGCTTTATTTTTAGCATTATTAGGTGAGATGGGATCTGAGAGACAGAAAATGTTTTGAGTTTATCCAGGGAGATGGAAAGAAACAGGAAAATCAGGAAAAAATGTTGACTTTTTTAATATTGTCCTTAAAAGATGGAGCTGCTGTCTATGATCTAAATTTGAAATGTATATTTCCCAACTCCACTCAACATTTCCAGGAGGATTGTCTCCAAAACCCAGAATCTGTATAGCTTGAGAGTGAAAATATAATAAAGGTCAGGCTGAGATAGAGGCTCCCTTTGGTTATCTTGAAACTAAAAAAAGAGGGGCCATTATAATTCCACAAAGCGAAGATAGGAGACGTTCAATGGAAATTCCAAGGCATCTGAAGCAAATTCCACATTTATTTACACCATGTGCAATCTCATAAATCAGTGGAGAATAGATCCCTTCTCTCAAAGCCCCACCTCTAAATTCCAGGTAATTAAAGAAGAGACTCTCATAAGTCTCGACTACTCTACTCACTGAAACTCTTCAGAATTCCTCCCTCCCCCCACACCTCATTTCTTAATTAATCTGGCTTGGAGAAGCAAGTGAGTTCTTTACTTAAAAAATGTAGGGAGGTCCAGTGGCTGTTGTGGAGGAGAATCATCTGTCTGAGAAGTAGAGATAGTATAGTTGATAACAGGCTGTCTGTCACTTATCTAGGGTAATGCAGGGGAAAAGAGCCTTTGGTCACCTGAAGTGGCCCTTCATCTACCTTTTTTCTATGGCAATAGGAGCAGCATATTCTTCTCTCTTAATTGTTTGTCTCTAGGGAGTAGCAGATGGCATGTTATCACTACTGGGGAAAGGGAGATGTAGCCAGCTCCTGGCAGTTGTCCCAGTGCAAGGCATCCTGAGAATTAAAAATGATCTTAGCACTTGGCTATGGAAAAGTGTCTGGCTGGCACCCTGTCAGTGACCTTGCCTTTTCCATTTTACTTGGGCTCATGGTTTCCCCCTCACTCCCATAAAAAAGTAGTAAGATTCTTCTTCCCACTCAATGCCAAGACCAAACTATGGTGTAATGTAATTAAGGAATAGAACCACATTTACAAATTTAACCTCTGCTTTGAATGGTACTGTACTTTACCAAGGCATTAATTATAAGTTTGTTTCTTCACATAGCAGTGTTAAGAAAATTAATTTGTGAGGTAAATGTTTGTCATTTTTTTTCTCTAAGACAATGTTCAAAGGAAGAGGGTATGTTCAGAAAGCAAGGAAGACAGTCACTGTAAACGCTTCAAAACTGCTGATGAAAACAAAAAAGAGAATATTTGTACAGTGCCAGAAAAAGAGGAAAAATTTTTGGGAAAGGTAACTTGCTTTATTTTATATGCTTAAAGCTGAAATCTTCCATGCATTAAATGTTTTAGTTATTGTCCTGTTGAAAGTAGTTTTTTATGTTAACTTCAGTATAATTGTCAGCTGTGCTGAACTACTTAAGCCAAATTTTATGGATGTGAATAATTGTCTTTCTAGACAGAATTCAGATTGGTTTGAGGAAACTTAAGAACTTTAGTAATTCTAAATTGGTTCCTCCATTAGTCTGGAAATTTGAAAATTATTCCTTGCCATATAAAGACAAATAAAATGGATTACTTTATAAATACACCCAATTTTTGCACGTCTTAGTAGATGAAGTAACATTCATTTAAACTCAGTGTTTACTCAACTTCTTCTTGAGTAACCCGAGAACACTTCAGATAGTGTTTCATTTTTCACTTGCTAAAATAGCTTAGACAAATTGACACAGTCCTATCTTCCAGAAGATAAAAATTGTGGGCAGAATTGATCAGAGCTGTGACTTCATTCCCATTAGAGTTGCTAACTGAAAGTTTCATCTGAGTTGTTTCATTCCTGTTTTAGTTGAATGTGTCCGTGTTAGCTGCTAGGTTTTGGTGGGCTAGAGATTTAAAGCATAGAACCTCGGATATATTAAGTTGCTCACTTTGAACTCTTGTAGACTCCCACCAAGAAAAAGTCATCTCTTGAATTTAAGTGGCTCAGACAGAACATGATAGGCCATTTATTTATTTAGTTATTTGTTTATGGATTTATGTATTTAGCCAATTAAATACACAGAGTGAAATCATGGTTCTATCCAAGTCAGTGGTAAAATTCCCATTGACTTCAGTGATGCCAAGATTTCACCCCAATTCTTATTTTAGACTTTCACCTGACACTTTGTTTCATGAAATTCAAAGAAAACAGATAAAAATCATAAACTGTGGTTTGAACTCCAGCTATTTTCATGTGTTGTCCTGTTTCAAATACCATACGATTTCGGGACACAATCTTACATCATTGAAGTTAATTGGAACCTGCCGTTGGTTTCAGTGGAAACGGGATAGTGTTCTCTTCCTGCTAGAGAAACAGTTAGACCTTTACATGTGAAAATATGACCTCAAATGGTTGTATTCTGCCTCTCTGCTGACTGGGAGCAGCTGAACTCTTCTCAGGAATGGTACAGAACACACACAAGAAAAATAGAGACTGCCTGAGATTTTTGGGTATGAACCTGAGAATAGAGAGAATATGAATGAAAATGTTGTTGGTTTTTACGAATTAATTTGTGAAAGCAACAAAGCTGGGACTGGAAAACTGACTGAGGAGCACTTTGCCTTGCTAGTGTGATGTAACATAATGGTGAAAGCAAGGAAAGCTGCTTCTAATAGCAAAAGCTTGAAAACCTTGAGCTTTCTGTAACATTTGTTTCCCCACATAACTAAACTACATGAGACATAGCTGGTGGAATTCTCGTTTCTAACTGTTATAATCAGGGTGGATAAAAATCAATGATTTAAAAAAAATCCGATTTTTTTTTATTTAAGTAGTTTTTTTCCCCCCTCAAAAAGCATTTTATCAAAAAAATCTGATCTAAAGATAGTTTTAATTAAGATAAATTATAGCTCAAAAATATCTCATCATGGTATGAGACAGTACATTATAAATTCTCATTCTATAGTATGAGACAATATATTCATATAATGTTTAAGAAAAGTTTTTTGTAAATGAGTTCCAATAGTTCATGGATTAGGGACCCAATTTTATGGAGTTCCACAGGCTTCTGTATAAATTATTTAGGTTAATCTTTCTATCTACCCAATGGGACTCAGTGCTCAGTCTAGAAGATACCATCAGAGATGCTTAGTTTTGCAGTTTTCAAACTGTGAATTTGTGTCTCCAGAGGTAACATGCTTGTTAGCAGCAAAAATATTTTTAAATAAATAAATAATATATAGAAGTGAGAAATAACAGACCTCAACTCTATTGTCCCTCTGCAAATTTGTGTACACAGAGTCAGTTGCTTACCTCTCTCTAAAAGTGCAAAGTTTCAAAAAGTTCAATGAATAGAAGATTATTGGGATTGGGATTGGAATAGATGTGGACAAGGAGAAGAAGTCTTGAGATAAATGTGAGAAGTGAGGGACATATGCTTGTTTTGTTAAAATATTATATGTTTGCTATTGAAGAAAAAAATCCAGAATACTTAACATTGTTGTTTTAGTTAAATAAAACAATTTAAATGTCTGTCTGGTGATGTTCTCCTCCTAATGCAACATGGCAAGAAAATCCTCCAAATATTAATGATTAACCTGTTGAATTGGAGATAGTTCACCTCCCAATGACTTCATAAATATCTGCTTCAATTTCAAAATAAATCACTGTTTAAAAATGTATAGTGTGTACCTTCTAAAAATGAAACCTACATATCTCTCTGAGTTGTGAAGAATATGTATTAAGGTTATAACAACCAACAAGAATGCAGTTTTATGTAGAAACCATGATTAAATTGAGTCTTCCCGACTAGTGATTTAAATCAAATCCACTCTGGTTATAATCGTAACTGGAAAATGAAAATGCAAAGATACCTTATTGCTTATGACACTGCATATTAAGCTTTGAAATCTGAAACTGAAAAGGCTTCCAAGAAACTATACTTCCTGTCTGAATCTAGTGAATTGATCAAAACATTCTAAACCACCTATGTTTGACACTACTTAAAATGGACTCAGCTGAAAGCTAAGTGGTTACAAAACAAATTGTCTGCTTGATGCTGTACACAGGTCTGCTGGAAGATGAAATACAGTGTAATGACAGTTACTTCCTGCATGACAAGGCAGTGTCTGAGACATGTCACCACCTGGTACCGAGCCTTAACTCCAAATCCTTAAGAACATAATTTACATTACAGATACAGAACTTCTTAAATATTATCTGTACATACATTTTGGAAAGATTATAATGACTAATGGGCTATTGGCTTTTGGTAGAAACATCACGTGCCACCCTTTGGTGAACAGCTATTCATATATATGACCCTGCAGATACCAGGAAAACCCTGTGTCCCCTGCCAGTTGGCACCAAGAGGTCCTTGGGTCACAGCAGCAAAAGTGCAGAATAAGTTAATACTATCCAAAGGGAGTAAGGGAAACAAAACTTAACGTTGCAGTTATGTTCCTGAAAAATGCAACTTTAAGCAAAACGATATTAAGCGAATCCAATTTCCCCATAAGAATTAATGTAAATAGGGGGGGTTAGGTTCCAGGGAAATTTTTTTCACCAGACAAAAAACTATATATTATATAGATGTACACACAGTATACGTTTTAAACAAACAATTTAATACTGTTCACAGCTATGATGATTGTGAAGCTTGGTTGAGGTGGTGAAGTTAGAGGGTGGGATATTTCCCAGGGAATGTCTTGCTGCTAAATCAGTGGTTCTCAAACTTCTGTACTGGTGACTTCTTTCACATAGCAAGCCTCTGAGTGCGACCCCCCCCCCCATATACATTAAAAATACTTTTTTATATATATTAATACCATTATAAATGCTGGAGGCAAAGCAGGGTTTGGGGTGGAGGCTTACAGCTCGCGACCCCCCCATGTAATAACCTCGTGACCCTCTAAGCTAAATGATGAACACCTGTGCTAAATGATGAACTAGCACTCGGCTGAGCCCTCAAGGGTTAACACGTTGTTAATGTAGCCTCTCACTCCACAAGACAGCAGGAATGGAGGGGAGGGGAGATAGCATTGCAGATAGAGACACAGCTTGTACGTGGGGGAGAGAGAGAGAGAGAGAGAGAAATGCACACTGCCCCTTTAAGTAAGCTGACCCACTCTTAAATGCATTGTCTTTTTAAGTGGATCAGGAAGTTGAGACAGCAGCTGCTGCCCCAAGCTCTCTCTGTCTCTCTCCATCAGTGTCCCCACCCTGCTCTATATGGAGAACGGGTAAGCGGGGTATAGGAGCAGGGGGGAGGGGGACACCCTGACATTAGCTCCCCTTCCCTCCCTCTCACTCCCCCCCCCTGGAAAGCAAGCAGGAGGCTCGGGGAGCAGCACATGGCAGTGGGAGGAGGGATAGTTGCAATTGCTAGCCTGCTGGGCGGCTGCAGCACAGGGAATTTAGAGGAGCAGGGAGCTGATAGGTGGGCTGGCGGTCTACCCTGGTTCCAAGCCCACCAGCTAGCTGCAACAGGCTGCTCTTCCTGCAAGCAGTGGACAAAGCAGGCGGCTGCCAAATGATGTTAGAAGGGAGCATTGCACAACTTTACACAAGCACGTTCCCTAATTGATCAGCAACGTAATGAAACAACGTTAACCGGGACGGCTTTAAGTGAGGAGTTACTGTATTAGAATCATTTCAAGGAACAAATAAATTCTAAAGGAATAAGTAGAGCTCTTAATAAACGGGAAATAAAATTAATGACTGAGAAATGGAATTCCTTTTTCTTATCTGACTGCAACAAGATGATTTAGAGTTTGGACAATTAAGTTAGGATATTAAAGCTCTAATTCAGTAAAGCAGTTCCATTGACTTCAAGTTAAGCTTTTCTGATTCTGGGCCTAAAACAGCTGTTTGATAAAGATCTGCTAAGAAAATCAGCATTTACAGTAAGAAGTTCATCCTAGAATGTTAAGGGAACTTTCCAAACCAATTGCAATAGAATCGTTGAAAAGGGAGAGAGGAATTGGTAGGACTGCAAGAAAAGCAGAAGTGATTCAGTACAGATCTTAAAGAAAAAGAGTGGTTCTGGCTTGTCTGGCAAAAATCTGTTACTTACAAGCCCCGTGCTGATACTAAGTCGTAAAATTAGTATCAGCACGGGCTTGTAAGTAACAGATTTTTGCCAGACAAGCTTCATTGCTTTCTTACGTTTTTATAAAGTTTAGGGGTTTTTTACCCTACCTTACTGATGCATGCTCTCAGCTTTAACCCTATTTTAATGTATTTTTTTGTCCTGGAATAGAATATCAAGGAGAGATTTAATTCTCTCTCTATCTTTCTTTCTCTCTGCTGTATTGTCACTTATCTGTTGTGACTACTGCATGTGTTTAGGATGTTAATAATGAATTTACAATTTGGTAATAGCAAGAAAAACAAATGTTTAATTTGTCGTCGTAAATATAGTAACTTACTCTCTGCACAAACTTGATTCAGGTAACATAGTCGGGCCAAGTCTACACTAGAAACTTTTTGTCACTGTAATAATGTCAGTGTAATTTTTTTAATGACATTTCTATACCAGCAACACACTAGTGTGTACGCAGTTATACTGACATAAAAGTTGTTTTGCCAGCATAACATTTTGTTAGTGAAAGCTGTAAATTGTATCAGCAAAAGCATTTTTTTTCTGTTATAAACCTCTTCTACACTAGAAAGGTTTACCAGAATAGCCGTACCAGCAAACCTCTTTAGTGTAAACCTGGCCTTATCTAAGCTAATATAATGTAAAATGTGTAGATGTGCGGGAAAGGCTTGTTTCCCAGGAATACAATCTTCACTCACTGAGCAGTATCAATTCTCTTTACCCAACAACAACAGCAGCAGCAGCAGCCCCTCAGCACTTTTGATCCTCAACCCACAAAAAGGGGGGGAAATCCTATTATGACCCAAATATGATGGTCTATTGCACCTACAAAAAAACAATTTGAGAACTATTCTTCTAGATCCATGTAAGATTCAACTATAACCATGGCTATCTCTGAACTAGAGAAATATTTACAATATGTTACCATTACCACATTGAGAATCATTAATTTTGTATAAACCATATCTCAAGATTCAGAAGGCATGATTGTCCTTGCAAACAGTTGACTTGCACTAGAGTGGGTTAGCTATAAGGGAGGGGGAATGCCAAAGCACAAAATACTACATTTTACAAATTACATTTATAATTCACAGAACATTGGTGAATCAGTTAAATTTATACATATTTTTAAAAATAAAACTTTGTTAAAATTAAAAAAAATATTAATTTATTTGTATATTTTCATTACCTCAGCAATGAATGATTTCTAGATTTGAAATGTAGCTTTTTTTTCCCATTATAGGTCAAACACTTGATTCAAAAGCGTGTGGATATTTTAAATAATGACGTCTTTAACCATAAACTGGAAAGTTTAAATGGAAGAGTTGATCAAACACAATGTCGAAAAAAACATGAAGAAATAGCCATTACATTTCTAGTAAGTTTCTTTGCATTGTGCGTATCCTAAAAGTGTGAATTTATTTGTTGCTGAAGGTCTTAAATTTTCAGAATTGCACCTACATTGTGTGCATAACTTGCACTGGAATTGCTTGCACTGGCATGAAGATTACACTTCTGTTTGTTCATAGAAAAATATGAATTGGAGGCTGTACGTTTTGTTACTTTTTTTATTTTATGGCATGCAAATCTCAGTTGCGGTTTGGGGGTGTTTTGCTACTGCTTATCATATGTGCAGAGTAGGAAATATATAAATGTGTGTACTATTTCAGGTTAACACTTAAAGTGATGCTCTTTTTTCTTTCCTTGTAGAAGAAAGTGTCTAAGCTTGAGAGACGTATTAATACTGTGATAGCATTTCAGAAGAAAATATTATCGAAAATGGTCACTAGTAAGGTATAGTATAATACGTAATACTTCAACGTAGGGATTCTATTAGCAAGTAGTCATGAACTCATGGGCAGTTACAAACAATTTATACTAAACACATGTGCAAGATGAAAACATAACAAAATAGATTTGGAGGAGATCGTATTGTATTGGTGTTATGTTACACAATAGCAACTCAGAGAAAAACCTGAACTCCTACAGACACCTGGTACTGGGACTCAAAAAATGTTAAAAGAATTTTATTTACTTGCAACTGAGTTGTTACATTGAGAATTTTTGTTTTTCAGTAGAATAAAATACAATTATTTTTTTCTTTTGTATCGCTTCAGAGGTCATAGGTAAGCAGCCTCTATTCTGACAGGAGGAGCAGCCTCTGAGGTATCAGCTGACATCAATTCCCATAGATGATTGAGTACTTTAGACCCTCAATAGTATAGTCAATAAAACACAAGCATTTCACTTGGAGATCTGGATACGATACTGCCAGAATGATAGCCTAAGAAAATATCAGGTATGGGGATTTTTGCTTCCTCATGGACAACATCTCTTGACATAAAATTGAAGATTTGTTGGCCAAGAAAACCCACGATTTAGACTTGTGCCAAGCTTTGTGTAAACCTGCATGGGATGCTAATTCAGACTGTTTTCAGGGGTGGCTTGAGATCCCTTAGCAGGCTTTTAAAGTTAAGGGTGCAAGCTCTTTAGCTAGTGTAAATTGTCATAGCTTCATTGACTGCAGTGGGGCTATGACAGTTTAAAACAGATGAGGATTTGTCCCAAGGATTTGAGTAAAGATTGTAGGACTAGTCAAATGTACCTGAGCCATAGTTATTTTTTCTTTTATAAAACAATTGGCTTTTTATCTAAATGTATAAACTTTATGCAATGACAAATGTTAAAAATCATGGTTTAAAGGTCTCATTGCAGAAATATCTTACTCTGCTTCTCGGTTGTGTTTTTCTGAAAAAGTTTCAGAAACTGTTTTGTTACACAATGGTATTCTAGAAAAATGTAACTCAGATTAAATATTATATACAAATAAAAAAACTTCCTTAATGGCAAATGCTTACCACTTAGCAAAATAGTTTGTGTCATGCTGAAGATTTTTGCTAAACTTTGGGAAGAAGGGAATAGCAAATATCACTTTTTTTTTTTCCTTTGCTTTATATTGACTCTCTGTATAATGCATCTTTTAGGAAATCACATTCATTTTTAGGGAAAATGTGCTTGTGTAAAAGGAAAAGGTCTGGTTTCTGAAACCAACTCTGGGTCCAAGTCTACATTTCTTCCACATGCAAAAGTCTAATTTAAGTAAGAATTGTTTGTACATTGAATATAAGATCTCACCCTTATTGTAAATATTCCAATGTGTTGTAAAACTGGTTTTATGTCTGTGTGATGGGGCGTCTGCCCCACACTGGCAGAAAAGGGGTTAAAAGCAGCCCTAGGGATAATAATAATAATAATTTTTCAAACCAAATTATTATTAGATGCTATACCTTTCTGAGGTCAGCTATTAAAACATAGCATAAGCTCGGATGTGCAAATAATATACTGTTAATTGGAAAAGTGCATGAACAGTGAAGTAGTGTTTCTGTACTGACTTAACGTTCAGTGGGTGTAAGAAACAAGTAACTCTACACAACAAGAGAGTTTAGCAGGAAAATAGCAAAACTGGTAGTAATGGATACTGAAAATCTGACTTCTTACATTCTCCTGATAGATGAATTTTCTGTTGCTACTCCATGCTTATATCCCTACTACATTTGACCTAGATTGTTTTTCTCTAGTTAACTAAAGGAACCAATGTGTGTAATAGAACTTAGGCCCAGAATATGTTTAAGTGTTTGCTCTGAAGACAACGGAAAGTTTAGGTTGGGGAAAGAAATGAGTGCTTTGCTTGTGTGAGCTACTAACACACAGTGGCAGGGTCTGGAGAGTGATGAAAGGTGACATCATCCAACAATAAGATGACAGTTATCACCCAGTCCCCATGGCAGGGAGTGGAAAGTATTCAGGAAGAAGGTTGTAATTCTATTTTTTGTGTGTGTCTCTGCGTGCCCTCAATGTCTGGTCTACAAGGGCAGTTTTGAGATTCATACAAGCTCAAAATTGGCGATAGTGGAACTAACTATTTCTCACAGAATAAGAAGGGATTGGTAGGTTTTGTGTGGTTTAGATATTTGACAGTCATGTTAATTTATTATTTAATTTTAATTTCCTATCAGTGTCTCTTGCATCATTTAATAGCTGTTTGTGTGTCTAGTGAATCTGTAAATGTTAATCTCTTGTTATTGTAAAGATAGGCCCTGGTTTAACAATTACATATATAATGTAAATTATGGAGAGGAGGGGGAGGTTAAAAAGGCACAAATCACCCAGAGGCAAAAAATGCCATCTGTTGCTCTGAAAACAAGGTGTGCATGAAATCCAGGACATCTGACTAACTCAGCACTGGTTTTGGACACGAACAGACTTTGCCATGACTTGTGACTTTTCTTTTTCTCAGGCAAATCTTCCAGGTGCAAACTCGCAAAATGCGATACTTAATCGAACCAAATCTGTTCCACCACTTCCTGATAACATAAATGGACAATCAGTTTCTTCAGTTAAACATTTATCATCATCCCATAGACAAACTGGTTCCACTTCTGAATGTGTTGCAGAAGAGAATGTAAGGTAGGTGTCTATAATGACCACACACAAAAATTCAATAAATATAACCCACATATTCTGTATAGTTTTAAAGCATCTACTTGGAACGAATCTACTTTTTTTCTTCAAATTTTACTTTTCCTAAAGGTGCTAGATTGGCTTAGTAATTGGGTCATCCATATATAGATTAAACTGAATTATTGTCTCTATGCCCTTTCTATTGCTGTGCTTGTTCCTTCAGTCCATATATCCATAACGAATGAGTTTGAGAGGTACAGCAACTTTTATTCTCTTAGGGATCAATCCTGCTTGCCTGTCTTTTGTGGGTTTTTTCTGTAGTGTTGGTTGTAGCTAGTATGTGCATTTGTAAACTCAAAAATTCTGCAGAATGATGGCAGGCAAAATGTGAAACCAACCGAATAAGTGTTGTTTTAAATCTCTGGTGTAGAGCAGATCCACTTCTCACTGTCCAGTTGAAGACCGATAGTACTGCCCTTAGATTTTAAAGAAAGATTGGATGAGAGCTTTGAGGGTTCTGCTTTGACTACTAATTTAAGAGGTAACGGTTATATTTTGGTTTTTTCTAGTAAGCGCTCTACTATTCTTAAATTTCTCAAGGCAATCTCACATATTTGACTCATTCTCATTGAAGACTCTAAATTCTGAGTAGACTTAGTTTAATGGATGTCAATAGTATAGATTCCTGTGGTTTTCTTATCAAGGGCCTGATCCTCCTTCCATTGAAAACACACAATACACCCATTTCTTAATTTCCATGTCAGCAAATGACTAGGTCTCCAGTCCATAAAGTTTTTCCAAGAAAAACAGGATAGTGAAGATCTTGCTTATATACAAAAAGGATACTCCTGGGGGAATTCTGTACCAAAAAAATTTAAAAATTCTGCACTCAGTATTTTAAAATTCTGCATACTTTATCTGTCAAAATAACACAATATAATCACACAAGTTTCAATTATTTTTGGTCATTTATTTCAAAATACCTGTCAGCAAGTATGTCTGTAACAATGCAGACAACAAAAAAAGATTCAGGAAATGTTTTTTGACAAATAGATTCCTTACTAGACATAATAATACAGAACTCTGAGTAATTCATTTAAACTAGAATACAGACCCTTATTTCCCGCACTCCTCAGAAGTAGTGCAAAGGCTTGGGGGAGTCAGGGGTAACAGAGGAGCTGAGGGAGAGGGAAGTAAATTGCTGGGAAGGAGCCTGGGTGTGAACTTGGAGGGTTGTTGGGTATGGGTGAAAAAAGTACGGAACAGATTTCCTTGGGTGGGCAGGGAGGGAGTGTTAAGAAGCTTCCCCCATGCAGACCCTGGCTGACCCCTAGCCTCTGCCATTCAGTCAGGCACATCCCCATGTGTTTCTACACCCCCATGTGCCCTTACATCCCCTGTCCACATGTGTCCATCCACCCCCACTCAGACTCCCCATCCCCATGTGTCCCTGTACCCTCTCCCCGGCCCCATGTGTCTCTGTGCCCCCAACCAGTCACTTCACTGTCCCTGTATAGCTCTGCACCCCCTCCCTCATCACCATGTGGCCCTGCACCTCCCGGTTGTGATGAATTACTGCAGAACAGTGGGTTAAAGCTTTAGGAAGAGTAGATTAATCTTTTGTCTTGTTTTTCTTGGGTCCACCAGTCCAAAAGTCTGCCTTATAAACTTTAGTTTTCGGTAACTAGGAAAGCCCTTTTCATGGGAAAATGAGGGTCAGTGGGGCCTCTTCCAGAGAGGCAGCAGTAATTAGCTGGCTACATTTTCACTATGTGTTGGGTACAAACAGAATCAACCAGACATTTTGAAGTGGAGGACTTGAAACATAGATGTGAAGTTCCAGTTGAAAATCTTAAGATATCTTACATTTGACACTGAGTTTCTGTACTTGTAGTTTTAGAAAGTCTTTGCATCAATCAGGAATTTTTTCCTGTTTTGCGATCTCTGCTATAATTTGAGTACATTGGTATCTTTTAATATATGGCAATTAATGTACGTGCATTGGACGTGGGCAGATATATGCTGCATCCAAAACTTTAATTTTCTATGCACAATAATTTTGTTCTTTACTGGTCTGCTACTTGATTTTTATATCTATCTACACCTTCTGTGTAGTTATCAGAGTGTTTTGTGGCATATCTGCTGTGTGAAATTCATGTATGATATACATAGTGAAGGAACAACTAATAAGCTAATGTAGCAGTTCACATCTTTCTTCATAATTAGAGCTGGGAGAATAATAAAAATACTTGAAATATTTTTTCTGAAATTCACAAAATTAGTATCTGTTCATGTAACATTTGCCCAGCTGTATAAGCCAGGAAATAATGGTGAAGGGGTTGGAGGAGTCAGTGGTCCTGAAATAATCAAATTATTCTAAAATTCAGCAATCTCTAGCTATCATGCCAGGGGGGATTATAAATGTTCTGTTAGTCATGAATCTTTCTATAAGGTTCTGTTAGTTCAATAAGAACCGAAACTACTATATTAACTTGTTTCTAGCCTTTTTCGCTTGTGAAAATAACCATTTTAAATGTAAATTGCTGCTCTGGCCAGGTTTTTTTAATATATGGCACCTTATTACAATTTATTTTGAATTTCTATGTTGTAGAATGTATATAACATATGCACCTACTTTTCAGAAGTTCAGTATGTAATTTTAAAAAACTTTGGTTAAGCTTTTGAAAATGCATACACAGATATTGTATTTACATTGTGTGGATAGTTTTGTAGGTAGACGTTTTGACTTTTGCCCACTAGCTTTTGGGATTCTCATATCTTAAAAAATTAAATATTACTGTGACTATATCTGCCATAGCACATACCCAGAGTTTTTACCTCCTCTCTCAAGCAGGCAGGCAGGCTTAATGGCCAGTTTATATTACACTAGCCCCCTTTGAGCTCCCAGGTTGATTCCTGCCTCTCATGGAATTGAAAGACATTTGGCCTCATATATTTGCTGCCTTGTCTCTTCAAGCAGCATGAATTTGGAGACTATAAAATTTTGTTACGAAAACCTCCACTTTCTGCATTACAGAGTAGGGTGTCGAGATGTCCCGCTATTAAGGCTTTGTCATATATAGGCAACAATTTTTCATACTTGCTATCTGGTCACCCATATTACAGAGTGCTGTGTTTCCAGTACAGAGGACACATTCTGTGTGTACTGTGAGCCTTCTTTGCTCTTGCTGCATGTCCTATGCCATAGTGCTGCAGTTTGAAACACTGTGGCACATGATTGGAAATAGCTCAGGCATAAGAGGACAGAGGTGTTTGGACGCTGGGGCAGATTCTCCTGAATAGCCCATCCCTTGCTTCCTGAAGCCAGTACTTCATGAAAACACGGACAAGTACGATGTGGACTGATTTCTGAAGATTGCTAAAGCCAGAGAGAAGTTCCCTGTGAGTCTCCTCATAATTATACTTTTATGGCATTTAGTGGCTTATTTGCAGTATTCCATAAAGCCCTTCCTAGGAAGCCTCTGTATGAGGGCTAAGCCTTGTTCATGTCCTCTTTAGCTTTCTTGTCACCCTTGGTCTCTCAGAGAAGGACAAAGTCTGTCTCATTATAGTGCCTCCACCTGACTCAGCAAGAAGGGTTATCATGAGGACTGGGAATAACTGATGTCATATTGGCTTGGTTTGAGATTATACCAAATAATTTGGATACTAATGGGTTGCCTTTGTTCTTAGGACTGGAAAGGCAAGAAACTACTTTTTTGGGGGGGTCATCTGTTGGTCCAAATAAACATAAAAAGAGTTTGCACGTCCGCAGACTTGAAGCTGGCTGCCACAAAGACAACTGGTTTGTCTCCTAAAATTAGGTGTGAGGATAATGGTATTAATTTAGGAACAGATCCAAGGAGCTTTGAGATATTTAACCAAATGACCTTCAGCCCCAGATTGAGGATATTGTGACCCTTGTTGATATTTTTTGAAAGAAAAAATGGCTTTATGATTTTTATGGATTTTAAGAAATTTTGAAAGACAAACTTCTAACTAAAACTATTACAAATCTTAACTAAGTTTAAACAACACAGTTATCAAATCAAAATCATAATTGGAATTTGGTTAATAAATTTCCAGTAATATGGAAGGGAATCAACAATTGATTATATTATTGCATTAACACCATCAGTCAAAACTTGAATAATGAAGTTACCATAACATAAGAACATAAGAACGGCCGTACCGGGTCAGACCAAAGGTCCATCTAGCCCAGTATCCTATCTACCGACAGTGGCCAATGCCAGGTACCCCAGAGGGAGTGAACCTAACAGGCAATGATCAAGTGATCTCTCTCCTGCCATCCATCTCCACCTTCTGACAGACAGAGGCTAGGGATACCATTCCTTACCCGTCCTGGCTAATAGCCATTAATGGACTTAACCACCATGAATTTATCCAGTTCTCTTTTAAACTCTGTTATAGTCCTAGCCTTCACAACCTCCTCAGGTAAGGAGTTCCACAAGTTGACTGTGCGCTGCGTGAAGAAGACCTTCCTTGTATTTGTTTTAAACCTGCTGCCTATTTATTTCATTTGATGACCCCTAGTTCTTGTATTATGGGAATAAGTAAATAACTTTTCCTTATCCACTTTCTCCACATCACTCATGATTTTATATACCTCTATCATATCCCCCCATGTCTCCTCTTTTCCAAGCTGAAGAGTCCTAGCCTCTTTAATCTCTCCTCATATGGGACCCGTTCCAAACCCTTAATCATTTTAGTTGCCCTTTTCTGAACCTTTTCTAGTGCCAGTATATCTTTTTTGAGATGAGGAGACCACATCTGTACGCAGTATTCGAGATGAGGGCGTACCATCGATTTATATAAGGGCAATAATATATTCTCCGTCTTATTCTCTATCCCCTTTTTAATGATTCCTAACATCCTGTTTGCTTTTTTGACTGCCTCTGCACACTGCGTGGACATTTTCAGAGAACTATCCACGATGACTCCAAGATCTTTTTCCTGACTTGTTGTAGCTAAATTAGCCCCCATTA